ACTGACTGCCGAACGCCGTCACACGTTCGTCAACGTTCTCTTCGCTTAATTATTCGCACACTAATTGGACTTAATTGTAAACGCGCAATTTTTTAATTGTATGTGCTTGGGAATATCATTTAGCCTGGTACTGATGAACTTAGGTGCATATATATATATATATTATATATAATATATATATATTATATTAATATATTAATCCACAGTGTACGTTCCTCATCCAACTTCATGACCGAAATACCCACTAAAGCAGCATTTCACACATCTTAGCTGAATGCGGAGGCAGATTTAATTCAATTTGATAGATAACTTTTTGGATGTGTTTTGCTTAGTAAAAGCAACCTGCCGTCAGCCGGACATGATAAGTCACAGGCTCAGGAGATTCACGTATACGGCTGAGTATCAGGCAGAAATGGAGGCAATTGTTACACAGAGCAATCAGGCCTTTCTTTCAGAGGGCTTCCTGTTAAGGTCGTCTTTACATCGATGTCATCTCATACACCTCATACAGCTTACATATTCAATGGTCATGCGGGTCTGTGCCGAACAAGGAGAGAGTCAATGTTGATAAAATGATAGATCAATATACACACAACGACAATAAGTAGGTCGACAAATGTTGCATAACAATGTTTTCTTGGTTACCTGAATTCTTTGAAACCTTCCAAAATAGCGTGCAACCTTTTAATTGCGGCCTGTGAAATAAATATTTGCGTGAGTTTACCGTTACCTTTTACCGTAGGTTTTCATGTAATGAACTCATTGTTCACATATTTATCATCGTTCTCTATGATTTTAGCGCGTGTAGTTGACTATTAACTGTATTATTATTGTGGTATACCGAGTGGCGTGTGTATTCGCCACGACAGCCATTCTTGGTACTGGCCAAGAAGGAAATCAGCCTGGTTCCTCTCAACTCAGCCGTAGGAGATGCCTGGATTCTTTGTGATGAGCAACTAGCCTATCACGGCCGGCGACCAAACCCACGAGTTATCTGTGACCTAAATATAATATTTAACATATATCAAACATTAGAATTCCTATATTTCGCGGACTTACATATGTGACCAGCGGCTGAATAGGTCCAGATGGAAATCAATGGAAATGTGTGGCTGTCTGCGTCGTTGCTGCGTATAGTAAGACCTACACAAGCAGCAATAGACGCAAAGGGTTGGGGTTACTAGCAGTTAGTTGCGTTAGATAGTCGGCTGAACCTCTTTGTTGCTATAGCTGCTGCGCAGTGCGATATTTTTCTGCTTAGGTCTCGCCCTTGGCGTTATAAAGTTGTATCGGTGTTCATGTTTAGCCTTCTAGAGTGGAAGCCCCTTACACAATTACTACTTTAATTAGTATAATAGTTTTTCTGCCGATAGTGGTTTTCAGCGGCCTATTTTTAATTACTTTTATCAGCATGCGTTGCGGTTATTACTATCTTGTTTCCGTCGCAAGAATCGAACGTATCTTCTAGTCACGTGGGTAAGAGAGAGCAGACGAGAAACGGCGCAGACATGCAGAACAACAACATAGAAAGAGATAGAGAGTGCTGTGTGTATGTTGTATGTGGTGATGAGAGCCGTGCGCACGCTGTGTGTGCGCTGTGGCGTGCGAGGCTGTGTGTGTGTGTGTGTGTGTGTGTGTGTGTGTGTGTTGTGTTGTATGTTTGTATGTGAGTGTAGAGCACGGCGCACGGTGCGTCGCGCGCGTGCGTGCATGTGTGTGTGTATTGTATGTGAGTGTGAGAGCACTGTGGCGCACGTGTGCGTAGCGGCGTGCGTGCGTGCGTGCGGTGCCGTGCGTGCCACGAACGTTCTGTGCGTTATGTTTGGGTATGTGAGGTGTGAGCGCCGTGCGAGGTGTGCGTGCGTGCGTGACGTGGTATGTTTGTATGTGATGTGAGCGGAGCGGCGCGTGTCGCACGGTGGTGCCGTTGCGCGGTGGTGCCGTGTGAATGTGTGTATGTTTGTATGTTGACGTGTTGAGAGGTCGCGTTCGCCACGTGGGCGCTGCGCATATGCGGTGCTGTGTGTGTGTGTGGTCATGTGTGTGTGTGTAGTGTGTTGGTGTGTGTGTGCATGTGTGTGTGTGTATGTGATGTGAGAGCACGTGCGCAGTGTGCTGCGCTCGTGCGAGTGGTGCGGAGGTGTGTGTGTGTGTGTGTAGTTGTGTTGTGTGCCATGTGTTGGTCATGTTTGGTATGTGAATGTGAGAGCGCTGCGCACGTGTGCGTTGCGCTGGTGCGTGGTGTGTGGTGTGTATGTTTTTATAGTGGAGTGTGAGAGCGCCGTGCGCACGTGTCAGAGAGGCGCGTGACGGCAGTGTTGCGTGCGCTGCGCGTGCGTGCGTGTGTGTGTCGTTTTGTTATTGTGAAGCTGAGAGCGCGTGCGCCACGTTGCGTTGCGCAGTGCGTGGGCCGTTGTGTGTACTGTTTAGTATGTGAGTGGCTGAGAGCGGCGTGCGCACGTTGTGCGTGCGCCGCTGCGTGCGCGCCCGACGTGCATCAGCCACACAATGCTGTGTGTGACTGTGTGTGTGTTTGTATGTGAGTGTGAGGCACGTACCGGCGCATGTGCGTAGTGAATGTGTGTGCGTAGGTGCCGTGCGTGAAGTGTATGTGTTGCTGTATCGGTATGTGTATGTGGATGTGTCAGTATGTATGTTGCGTGTGCTGTGAGGTGCGTGCGCTGTTCGTGTGTTGTGACACAGACTGCAGACACAGATGCCAGTGCTATTATGTCGTCTTGCAGCGTGCTACCTCGCATCGAGTTCGAGCACGCACTCACCCGAACAAAACAACAACCAAACAACAACCACCAGCAGCAGGTGCTCTCAGTGTTCAAACCACACAATCTCAACTATCCCGAAACAGGCCGATAGTGAAAGTTGGATCTACTGAGGCATGCCTACTTATCGCCCCCCCCCCGCCCCCAAGCGCTCTAGTAAAAAGTCATCTGAAGTAAGAGATTACGCTCTGACGTTCTGTATAAAACAGCGCCCGATTAAATTCCCATTGTTGATGTTAGCGTGGCGACTATTTGAAAAGCTAATGAAAAATGTTGGTATTATAGGTCTTGGTGACAACTGGCATAATTCTTTCACTTTTACTTTAAAAATGTTTCTGTTGGCAAATGCGTAAACGTGTTTGTGGCCGTGCAAGCCGCAACTGCTAGTGAGGAGTAAGAATCGAAGCTTCAAACCACTCCAATTCGCGCATGTCAATTGTGCGGTACAAAAATGGTTGGAGCAATAACTAGAGGCGTCTTGAGGCATCATCACTGGCCATCCTGATAAAACGAGTCCACATTACAGGTGATATACCCTTGGTGCCGTTTGAAAAGTGAACAAGCGAGGAGGAAATACATAGGGGCATGACGCAGTGTTTAATATTTTGTGTGGGTTGACTTGTGCTGCCATCATCGCTGCCATTACTGCAGCCTCCATCAACACCTTAGCTAATGTCGATGCCCACCCAGCGATCACTACAAGGGTTGCATGTAATCTGATAATATAGAATAGATATCTATCTATTATGATATAGACATCTACCTATTATGATATAGATATCTACCTATTATGATATAAATATCTATATTAGATATATAGATATCTATATTAGATATATAGATGTCTATATTATAGAGTCTATATTATAACTCTCCTGATATTATCAGGGCATTTAAACTCGCCATTCTGACCGTGATTACCTCTTGCATGAGATAATTACACGTGTATTCAACTATACTATTAACTCATATTAAGTAATTAAGTAAACAAAAATCGGGTCGGACAATGTTCTCTGAGATCTTACGGAATCCACCAGGCTAGACAGAACCATCCAAAACTTGTAGGTTTTCTGTAAAGTCGCTATCGCTCTTACGCTAGTCGCTATCGCTCTTACGCTAGTCGCTATCGCTCTTACGTATCCTTACCTCACATGATGGCAGCACATGATGGCAGCACTTGTTCAAATCAATCAGTAGATTAGTAGGTGTTAGTATTGTCTCTAACTTGTGTATGTACTCAGTGAGTGTATGTATGTACATTGCTTTGTGTTGTTATTGCTTGCCTTGCTGGTTGGTATGCGTTCACAGCAAGCTTTCATAGTTTGTTTCTGATGTAAACGGTAATATCTTATTTGCGACTGATGATTGCGTTTACCTATATGGAGAGTCCTATGTGTTTGTAGGCTTTTACTTTCTAAGAATTGTGGTGGATCGAAATGATATACGTTGTTCGACTTTAGTTCCATGGAAACATTGACTGCCAGTTAAGTCGCGTGTGTCCATATTGTACTTCTATTTGGTTTTAGTTTTTCGTACTATGTTGCATTTTGCGATAACCGATGGTTATTCAATGAGTAACTAAGCCCTGATTTTGAGTTATATATACACGGCATAATTCATATTCATTTACAATAATTTGTGTGAATGTTGATTTTATACATAATATTGTTATTTGATTATTTTGAAACACTATAGAAAACGGAAGAACGTTGTTCTGGCGAAATACAACGTCAAAATCAAACAATATCACTGCCCATGTGCTACTTCCAGATTTCAAAACATTGTTATTGAAAATAATCAATAATAAAATTGAAAATAAATAAATCGGATGAGAAGGAGAATACAATACACGAGGATTGTGTATAAATAGTTCTGGGATTCTGTCGTACATAAGTGTTGTTAAAGACTCGAGGAACACAATATATGCAGGCAATGTTACCATGTAGCATAAATCTTTTGGTGAGAATGCCTTTAAACTACTGCTGCAATGCTAGGTGATGGCAAGTCTGTGATTCTAAAGCTGGAATTATGTGATGTAAATAATAACCATTTAGTTATACATTTGTTCGTGTATAAGTATATAACGGTACATGTTCTTTCATATGTATTTTGATTGTTGTGGTTGAGATATAGGTAATTATTTATTATATAATACAGAATAAAAATATGTTTTTTAAAGAATAAACCTAACGTTGTTGAAATTATAAACTACAAAAGACGTTTATATTAATACATAATATATATTTATTCACTGTGCGTGTGTGCGGGGTAGGAATAAAGGTTCGTGTATCTGTGCGGGAGTGCGCAGGAATCACAGTACAAGCATGCATACGTGCAGGCATTATTATGCTATATATATTATCGTGCTCATAGTGTATAATAAAGTCGATATTAGATTTAACTGCCATACTACATGCGGGTGCGTGTGCGCGAGCATACGAATACATCTGAACAAGCAAACCTAAATTGATATTTTTTGCGTGCATTTTTTTATAAAGCCTGCCCAGTCTTAACTGTGAAGATTATTACAACACAATCAAAATCGCAACCGTTACCTCTTCAATATACAATACTATTTTAGTCGTACAAATTACAATATTGCTAACACCATTACTAGTGTACATTCTTCTATAGCGGCTGCGGGTTGCTAACTTGAATGACGGTAATGCTTGGTCGAGTTCTGCTTTTTTCTCTCATCGTCTTACTTTTAATCTTCTTCGTCATTTGATTCAACTCTTCAAAGAATCGATGATGTCCGGAAAACCCTGAGGCAACGTAAAGAAATGCAGATGATAGAACAAGGTTCTTACTTAAACTGTGTTAAATACAAATTGTTACTCGTTTATAACAGAAAAACAACGTAAAATGCCTGATTAAAGTAAGAAAGACACTGGGAAGGAAAGATATGTTATCGTCACATTACTAGGCAGTATCTACTCTAAAGGTATCGAACGTTAAAAAAGTAAGATCTTATTCAGCAGGTGTTTTGCACACGAGCTTTTCTCCCGCTATGCTACATAAGGGCATTCAGGAAGACGGGATACTTATATTTAGCCATATGATTAGCAAGATATTGGGATGAAATTGAGATTGGGAAATACGGATAAGTATCTGCTCTCCACCTTGGTATTCGACGTA